CGTGACAGTTTGCCTCGTAGTCTCCACAGGTAACCAAGAACTTTCCTGGCCTTGCTAGAAGAAGACTGTGCATGTTCAGTCCAGCACAATGCCTGATGTAGGGTGACTCCAAGGTGGGTGTAAAATGTCACCTGCTCGATAACTTGGCCTGAGATGTAAATAGGAGGCAGTTGTGCTTTGCTCTGTGTGGTCTTAATACAGATGACTTTGCACTTGTCAGGATGTAATTCTAGGCCCCAAGCGTCGAACCAGTTTGAGACAAGATGAAGGTCAGAATTGGTGATTCTGGCCACTTCCGTGGGTGTCCGTCCAGAGGCTGACAACGACGTGTCATCAGCAAAACAATTGATGTTCGAGGTACATGGTAAATCCTTGATATCGTTTATGTAGACCAGAAATAGCAATGGTCCCAGAATACTGCCTTGTGGTACGCCGGCGCACGTACACCCCCAGGACGATGAGGTACCATTAATGACCACACGCTGCTGGCGATCTGTGAGGTAGTCTGTGAACCAGTCAATGAGAGGCCCGTTCACTCCGTACCGCGAAAGCTTATAAATTAAGCCCTCGTGCCACACAGTATCAAATGCTCTCCGTACATCCAGGAACACGGCGGCAGTACAAGAGATGTTGGGGTCGTCAATGGACTTCGCCCAGTCATCCACCAACCGCAGGAGCTGTAGGACAGTGCCGTCTCCTTTCCTGAACCCGGACTGGTTTACATTTAACAGGTTGTTTTCTGTGAGGTACGAGTAGAGACGGTTGTGGACAAGTCTCTCCAAGACTTTGGCTACAGTGGGAAGGAGGGCGATCGGCCTGTAGTTGGAAGGGTTGGTTCGATCACCCTTTTTGTAGACTGGCGATACGTTGCACTGTTTCCATTCTGTTGGAAATTGGCCAGTGGCAAGGGAATGGTTAAACAGGTGACAAAGGGACGTGCAGATGGCAGGTGCACCCTCCTTAAGGAGCCGGTTGGGAATGCCGTCGGGGCCCGGAGCCTTATTGGGGTGCAATCCTTGCAACACGTCCAGAACCTCCTGCTCTGTAAGTTGGATGGTACTGAGTTCGTTGGTGGTGAACTTGGGTAGCCAACTTGTGCAGTTGGGACGAGAGGCTTCCTGAGTAACGCTAACGAAGATGTTATTGAGCAGTTCCGCCTTGTCTACATCCTTGTCCACCACAGTGCCATTCGCAGACAGTGCGGGGATGCTAGACTTACATTTACCCGTTGCTTGTTTAAGTATGGACCAGAATGACCGGGCACCTTCGGCAGATTTCAGCCTATCACTGACAGTGGAGTAGTACTCCGCTTCGGCTTTACGTAGGTCTTTTGTCAGACGATTTTTGGTCTGAGTGTAGATTTTCCAATTCTCTGGTGTAGGAGATGACTTGAAGGTGTTGTAGCAATCTGTTTTGTGTTGGATTGCCTCTAGTAGGTCTGGTGTAATCCAGGGCTTACGTGCAGTTTCCACCTTTTTGGTTTTGTTTGGGACAGTGTTTTTGGCAATGTTTAAGAACTTAGCCTTCCAGCCATTCCATTTTTCATCTATTGTACTAGCACTCATAGTGGAATCCCAGTTGACCTTACCTAGCTCAGTTCTGAATTTGTCGAAATTAGCTCGATTGTAGAGCCAGACATGTTTCCTAATGTTCTTTACAGGCACAACGGTATTAAACTTACACAAGACAATTCATTATAATAATTTGATAACCGCAGAGCCATGTGTAAACTCCGTATTAGCGACCATCCCCTACACATAGAATCTGACAGGCATAGCCGTACACCGTTACAAGATAGACTATGCAAGTTCTGGAACAATTCATGTATTGAAGATCACATTTTATGCTTGACTGTATATTACATGTTAACTGATAACGAACGTAAATCACTGTTCAGTTCAATGAAGCTCGAAAAAATGTAAGACATTATCAAAACAAGACACTTTTAAATATATGATATCATGTACAACTAGAGTTCGACGATCTCATACCTCCATGACATGTTTAGTGCTTTCGTAAATCTTACGTATGGTGATGATCACATGTAAATGGCTTACATTGACAGTCTTGGTCAGAAGCAAAATTCAAATTATACAAATAAGGCCCTGAGTTGAATAAATTATGTTTAGTGATGTTCACTTGTACTGAACTTGCAATTAGGGTAAGTATTTTAATACCTACCCTAATAATGTGAAATTGCTACAATTTTACAGTGGCAACTGCTTGTAATTAAAAAATTGCAAGCAGTTGCCACCATAAAATTGTAGCAATTTCTCGTTATTTATACAAATGAGGGATTCATTTACATAATCAATATCTGCCAATGTTCCTGTCGCTCTCAATTACATATGTCACAAGTGTTTCATAGCCTAATATAGAACACAACGGATTGGTACAATTTCCTCATTTATTATGCAAATAAGATCTAGATGTGCATAATTGTGATTTGGTTATGCCAAGCATTACTTTAGCTATCTACATAACAAAAATCACGACGATCCGTCAACAATTTTTATAGTTATCCTCTCTTAAAGATTTTTAAACAAACCGTCCTGCAGTACCATAACAAGCTGCTAGGGGACTCAAACTCACGTGACTTGTTTCAAAGCACAAGAGCTACCTACCATTCAAAATTCATGACCCTATAGCTAGTATGAACGGGAGATATTGAAACCGAAACAGATTTATAGTGTTTCCTCATAAATCATGTAAATTAGATCATCATTTGCATAATTGTGATTCACGTATGTCAAGCATTACTTAAGGTTCCGGGTCGGAGTTTAATTCTGACCAGGGTTCCAAATAGTGCGCAGTAAATCGCCGGATCTGCGAGGTTGTCACGCTAGGTTTGGCTCCCCATAGCTCGGCGATCGCTGTAGATTTTCAACTAGGTTTTGAATTGATCAAAAAGCCTTGGGATTGTAGTGTTTTTCGGCGCGGTGAAGTTGGACGGCCAGCGAAGCGTTTTTGGTATCAGTCCGCGAGCAAGGGTGATGCGGTTTGTCGCCTGATGACCCAAATAGCTGCGTTCTATGTGGAATTTCTAGGGGTTCGCGTCACCGGATTTTGCGAAAAACTTATCGCAACAACCTATATTTTTTTTCTGTTTTTCAGAAACAGAAAGTAGTAAGCTATTTCAGCATATAAGCCGTTAGCCTGGGAAAATTCGTTTTTTTCCAAGCAGGTCCGTTGAAAAAACTGCAAAAAAAACTACATTTTTCGTATCCAAAATTTACGTTTAACTACAGTTTCTACCCAAATTATAGAGTCGACGGACAATAACCAAAATTGTATCGGAAGCCGGCTGGAAACCTCCGTTGACTGATGTAATGAGATTTCCCGGCGTACATTTTTTGGCGGAGTTATAGCCCTTCGGTCTGAGGGTGTCCGCCGGATCCAAAATCGTGAAAAAAACTCCGGTCCGAGACCTTAAGCTACCTACAAACCAAAAATGATGACGATCCGTCAACCGGTTTGTTAGTTATCCTCTCTCAAAGATTTTAAAACAAACCGTCCTGCAGTTCCAGAACAGGGTGTTAGGGAGCCCAAACTCACGTGACTTCTTCCCGAACACAAGGGCTATCTACTATCTAAAAGTAATGACCCTAGCATGTCCAGATCTTGAGATATAAAAACTGGAAGTTGAGCTGCAGTACCAAGAAAAGCCACTAGGGGGGCCAAAATTTCATCATTTCCATTTGGCCACACCCATCCAACACACCAAGTGTCTTCTTGAGTTATCTTGTTGACCAACAGACAGACAGACGGACAGACAGACGGGCAGTCAGATAGGCAGATAAACACAACTGAAAATATAACCTTCATGACATGTCATAGAGGTAAATAAAGATATCATGAATGAAGGATGTAAGTATATTTCGAAATGTTTCAAAAAGAGAGAAGAAGCCATTAGAACTTGAATCGATACTACTTTATACAGTTTTTAGCATTCCATACCTTAGACCTTATGTTAGCCTTTTATTGTTGTTGCTATTTCTGAATGAACATGCAATAAAGATTCATCATAACTTTCGGCATGCACCTGTTTGAAATTGTATAATTACCTTCGCCAAGAAGGTTTTTATAGGGCCCCGTTGAAAAGCAGTGCCATCACTGAATTGGGTTACCCTGTATAAAAATGACGGAAATAAATAAATAAATAAATAAGGTTATGTTTTCAGAGGCGTTCGTGTGTGTGTCTGTGTGTGTGTGTGTGTGTCTGTCCGCCTGTAAACACGATAACTCGAGAAAGCTTAAATGGATTATCTTCATACTTGGCAGGTGGGTAGGTCTTCATGAGACCTAGAAATGATTAAATTTTGGGCCCCTGGCCTCTTGTTATGGTACTGCAGAATAACTTCCGGTTTTGATATCTCATGATCTATACATGCTTGGGCGCACGAAATTTGAAGGACATAAGATGATATCAATTTTGTAGATGAAGACCTACTTTGCATAATTAAGGCCACACCGACTTAATTTTATGGATGACATCCGCGCGCGCATTGATTTTCGCCTGTCCTCAAAAAAAAAGATCACGTCCTCCGAGGCTTTGGCCTGGCTCTAGGCCTGGGTAGTCCATGGTAGTTAGCAACAATACAGAGCCGGTGGTAACTCTGGAGGACGGCACCCAGGCTACCGAAGCTCCACGACTAAAAAACTCAGTAACGTTACATACGTACAGTGCCGATTCATAAACTCCGCAAAAAAGCCAACATGTGCCGGCTTGTCGTGTACGTCGCTTTGTACTGCTGGAAAGTCACAATACCAGCTTTGTATTCCTGTGGTTTAGTAACATTTTTTTATTTTTGGCCGGAATTTTTTTATTCGCCCGCGCGCACTAGTTTTGGGGTTTTCATAGGATGTCATCCATAAAATTAAGATGGTGTGGCCTAATGAGAAAATTTCATAATTCCATAGAGGTAACTGCTGGGAATTTCACACTTGAAATCACACAACATGCAAAAATCAATTATCTTATTTGTATTGTCAATGAGAAACATAATTCGTCAGTTGTAAGGCAAACATAATTTCGCGAAGGTATGAGAACTCTAGTTTCTGATATTTTGCATCCAGTCAAAATGCTTTGCGTCAACTGCTGGGTTTAGCGAAACATGTTGGAAACCGTGTCTATATAGCATATTTTGTATATGAACGACCGAATCCTGTTCTTGGTCTACAGCAATATCGTAGGCTTGGTGGTGGTGTAGTCTAAGCCAGTATTTGATGAGCTGAGTTTGAGTATCAATATAGAACGAAAATGCTCCTAATTCTCCCCCTACAGCGGCCGTGACCGAGCTTCTAAGGACACGGAGAATTATTTTGTAAAAATTCAATGTTTAGTTTGTCTCTGTATTCCTTGAAACGTCGTCTACCAGATGCTGTTACTGCAGATAACGAGCACGTCGGCAGAACGTACTGCGCCTGTGCAGAACCCTGGATTTTCGCGTTTTTAGTTGGATTTTTGGTCAACGTTGCATCAGAATTTTCACTGTTGCAGAGGATATCTTTTCTGACACAACATTTGGAAACTACTGTCGAAATGCTAACCTTATATGAGCGAATACAACCTTATATGAGACATTCTGCTGAAGTGCTATGTACAATACATTACAGGTCTCGCGCAGGTGCAGTACGTTCTGCCGACGTGCTCAGATAACGCAGTGTTTACGTCACACTGACTGACCCACGTGACAAGTCTCACTGGGTCAGTTTACTGAGGAAGACCAGGAGTGACTGGTCGAAAGCTCTAGATGAGAACCATTTCTTTTTGTGTTGGATCAAAGTTGTATTCATCTGAGGTATTTATTAATTAGCACGGTAGAATAGTATATCTGTCTCCAGACTGGAGGTGCTGCTACTGATGATTGAAGATGATAACACTGTTGCACTCTATATGTCAGGCGGAACTGTCTTGCAGCCAGAAAAATTTGGTCGTCCCAATGTGACTGACTTGATGATCCATGAATTAGGCCACAACCTTGGACTGTGGCATGTCCACCACGGAGTGGATGAGATGTTCTGTAGGTAGGTAGCATCACAAAATTTTCCTCTTATAGAGATTAAGGATTGCTAACGCTACTTCAAAACCTTTCAGTCGATTGATTTGTTGACACTTTGCAGTTGTTTTTTAATCTCGTGTTTCTTGTATTCTTCCCAGCGATGAGTGTCTCGAGACACGCCCTTCTATGGAGCTGGGAGATCTATGTGCTGACACCCACCCTACCCCAATGAACAATGAATGTAAAGACCCCGACTATGACAAGAGCATATGTGGACTAGCCCCTTTCAAGCACACGCCATACAACAACTTTATGAGCTATGCAGGTGAGAACAATTTACATGTACACTTGTTCCTACCAACTTGCTTGCTGTTCATTTATCATGACTCTTGCCTTGCATTTCCATGACGTAATCTTGTTTTTTCAATACCATAACAGATGATTCTTGCACGGAGTCCTTCACGCCCCAGCAGGCAGCCCGAATGCACTGTTACCTAGGCTTGGTCTACCAGGGTTGGCAGGTACAGAAACTTCCCATCATTGTCCTTCCTCCGAAAGTCCTGGATGTCACATCCAAGACCCTGTCAATTGTCTGGCTGCCACCACTGACTGGGGAAATGTTTGGAATGAGTGGAGATTGTGGAAGATGCACGCAGTACAAGGCACTTCTACAATACGCCAGCACTGCGTCCTCACCTACTACCAGCTATCCTGAGGGACACTGGGGATGGACCATCAGTGAAGCTACAGGTAATATATTTTTATGACGAATAACAATAACATCGGCATTGCTAGCATCTGTGTTTTTCTATCGCCATCACCCCTCATTGGTAAAGTTTCCTGATGCTGGTAAAAATTGTCTGACAATTGCTCTCGAGCAAATACAGCATATTTACTCCATCTCCCCTCCGGGAAAATGGACTGTCTCAAACTTATCACTGTGGAATAGTCTTTAGGTTTTACGGTACCTGGCCCTTTCTTCAGCGAAGTCTCCTTGTACGGATCCTTTCAATGATAGATTCTTCTGCCCCCAGTTTGATTCCAGTTCCTTGTTTGGGATGCGGTCACGTACCGTAACGCCTAGTATTGCCCCAACGCATCTCTTTCGAAAGCTAAGAGAAGTAGCTCGTCTGCTTTTCTCAGTGTCCATGTTTTCGAGGCATACGTGGTAATAGGTAGGATGAGAGCCAGGTAAAGACGGTCTTTCCAGACGGTCTTCCAGAACCTTCCGGATGTTGACGCCGCAAAGCGGTGTATGCCAAAAATGTACATGGAGGTCTGTGGGCATAGGTCAAAGGTAGTTTCATACCAAGATTCAGGTCATTTAACACTAGAGCACATGATCCCAAATATGCATTATTGGTCTGAAAATGAAAAATAAATTAAAGGCCTGCAAAACCGTATGGGGGAATGGACGACTCTATACTCCCATGCATAATTTCAGAAATCGAGTTCATTTAACGAAATGGCAGCAGAAAGAAGAGAACAAGAAACAACAGGGAAAACAATATATTTCATCCATACAATGGTATGGACTGAAAAATACTTCTTGGCAAAATGATTTACTTATCATTTTCATCAGGCTTGCAGCAATGACTGCACATATTCATAGACTGTTGCTCACGAGGGCGTGCGATCAGCTGCGAGAGACGATGTAGGGTAAAAGTCAATTTATTTCACCCATACCATGGTATAGAGTTAAGTATAAAAACAATATATTTCATCCATACTATGGTATGAATTGACGTATAAAAAGTTTAATTCGTGTGCTGGCTCTCCATGTACAGGTCCCCCAGATTCAAAGACATGCGATGTCACTGGAAAAGAATGGCTGCCAAACGTCACCATGTGCAATCCCTGTTATATTGAGCTGGGCCTGGACACCCCAGTTGTACCCACAAGGCTGTCAGTCTGGGTGAATTGGAATCCTGCCAATGGAATCAACAACATCCTCCTGATATATACCGATGGCACCGACACTTCTCTTGGCAGTATAAATGCTTATTGCGATATGCCTTTCACCACCAAAATCAAAGCTTATAAGAAGTTGAAAAAGGTCCGTATCTATACAAGCTCCCCATTTGTCGGCATTGACGCAATTCAGGTGGAATCTGCAGCAGCACACCCTCTTTGTGAACATTGCAAGAAGATCAAGTACAAAGTTGGAAGAGAGCCTCCCTTCACAAATGGCGAAGAAATGGCGGTTGAGTCAACACGTTTCCTAGACAGGTAAGCTTTGGAATATGAATACAGAAATGAAGTTGGAAATGAACGCGTTAAACGCGTTGTACTTCTGTAAGTTATGCACAATGTACTATAACGTTATGTTTGTTTTTGCTCCGTTTCTACTTCTTCCATTCCAAACAAATAAGGTCAAAACCTGGAAAAGGACGGATGTCATCATGGTAACTGGTGCTGTAGCAGACACTCCGTGGTGTTGGATTATGTGACCTAGCCATTTTGTGACAGAGGCCCGATAGGCTGGTCACCATAGATAGCAATGTGTTTGAGTAAGAATAAACAGAGTAGCAGTTTGTTACATGTAGCTTAGACAATGTGAAGGTAAACATTATAAAAGTAAGCACTTTTTCTAATTGTACAGAATTCAAAATCCTGGCACGCACACATATGTGACCGTCAATTTAACAAACGCCCACCAAAATGCATATATCCTTACTATGTGAGGCAATGAAATGAATAAAGTGTGCTCAATTTATAAAGCAGCAGGCGACAGTCCAGATGTACAAGTCAAGAAAACAACAATCATATTACGTGATTTTTAATGATTTGATGTGTGGATTGCCAGCGTCTATTCTATGAAATGATGTTTATTTTCCAGTGACGTTAAGACTGGGGTGATGTACAAATACTGGGTAACGACTGCCGTGGGGTCCGTCGTGAGCATGCCTTCCCCGGTTCTAGAGTACAGCTTCCCTGGTGCCTTTTGTGGTGACGGCGTGATACAAGGCAGTGAGCAGTGTGATGATGCCAATGCCATCTATGGCGATGGTTGTGATCTCAACTGTCAATTAGAGGAGTTCTTCCATTGCAAAGGTATGGCTTCTTATTATTCACCCCCCCATGTAGTGGGAGGTGTTTGTTTTCAGTCTGGATGATATTTTCGTGTAAATCTCAAGATCCTTCATGACAGAATGCGTTGATATTTGACATGAGGGTAGGTGTGGTAACTTTGGGCCCCTGGAGATTGACCTTGGAAATGCAATAGGAATTTTTAAAAATATCTTTGACGCTGGATGGTTTGTGAACGTGATGTTAGGGTGGCATATAGTTGTATAGGTAAGGGTTTAGTTGTGTAAATTAGGGCCCCCTAGCAGTTTGTTGGGGATCTGCAGGGTCGTTTGAATTTCGATTCTTTTTGGCGCAATGATTTCAAAAGCTGCTGCATGAATTGCGTTTATCTTTGTTATGGGGGTAGTCGCTGTGCGCCATTGCGTTTTTGCGTGCACTAGCAGGTTGTTGTAGATCTGCAGTGTGCTTTTTAAAGACTTTTTACATTTCACATCCCCTTTATAATAGAATGGTTAAGTCTAACCTTTGCTTTGCAGGTTACAGACCTCAAAATGGGGTCAAGCTGGTGAATTTGTGCCTGAAGGTGATAAATCTTCCCTCTTATCATGCGTGACGCACAGGCCACAGGCTTCCCTGTACTTTAAATAGCAGGGGTGACTTACTTAGACTTAGTTCCTCCCGTGCGTAGCACATTGGGCAGCAAGTTTCCTCCATCCTCCGGTCTTTGGCCATAGTTTCAGCATCCGCCAGCAAAAAAGTCATTATTTCCTTCACAGGCAGAGTGTATGGAACTATATCTTTGTTGTAAAACAAATCTTACTCGTGACCTGCTACATGTTTATCGGAAAGACCAAAGAGCATCTACTAACTGTTAAAGGGTTGTTCTTGAAGGTATGCATCATCCACTTATTTCATTGATATGCTATAAGTTAAAGCCTGTGAAGAGAACTAAGAGTAATGGAGTCCAGCTTATTAGAAGTCCACTTTGATCATGTCCCCTTTCATTGAATGACATCTATCTACTACTTTGATACGTGGGTAGTCGCTTTGCATTAGCGGGTAGTTCCTGGACTGTTTTATGGCACTTTCGGGCGTGACCCCTACGTGGCCCCGCGGGACAACCTGCGGCTACAGGGCTATTTTGGGGCCCGGCGGGGACCCGAGAAGACTTAAATTCTACCTGGGCCCCGCTGACAAAAAAGACGCCGTGACCGAGCCGTGAGAACACCGAGAGGTACCCCTCCGGTTGCCGGCAGTCCACCGGGACACATTTGTTACGTCACAGACCAGATGAACAGAATAAAGGTGTATACTTCGTACCCCGGGTAAAAAGTGTGACGTCACAGATCAAATGATCACAACAAAAGCGTGAATTCTGCATTACGTATAGGTCAGTACAAGACATCGTCAGAGAAGCTACCTGCCGGGTGCCTGCCGTAGACGGACCAAAGAGGGTGACAAAATTTTTAACAAAATGCTACTGAAGGAAACTTTTAATTGTGACCATGGCAGCCGATGCTCGCCCGATTCCTGAGCCCGACCGGGTCCGGCCGGGGCTACATCCCCGACGGGCACAGGCGCAATTGGTACCGAAGCTTAAGGGATGTGTGCCGCTAAAACGTTATTACTAAGTGATATGAGTGTATGGAACTATACCTTTGTTATCTTACTTGTATTCTGCTGCATGTATATTGAAATGAATGTAGCCAGATTATTAACCGCATCATCACTCTGGTTTTGCATATAATGGTACATATTATTATACACTAGGCAAAATTCTCCTTCTAGTAAATTACAACCTACGTAGACTCCCATTGGACAAAGTAAGAATATTAGACACCCCAACAAACTCAATTGCCAGAGTGAAAGAAGCTATTTTATAACCCCTTTACAGATACGGGGATGCCACAAACATTCTGCAACTGATCAACTCTGCATAACACCAAGCGGCTGATTGATCATTTCTGGACGAAGACTGGAGTTTGACAAGAAAAAATCTGTCCAATTTTTTTTGCAAAGATGAACATAAAGATGAACGTAAATAAACATGTTCCGATTGAAACCATACAGTCGAAAATTTGGGTAGGTCCAATTTCTTGTGTTGGAAATTACAGTTCAAACTTGTTTCATAATGACTTCTACCAACACAGATGAACTTTCCATATGATATATTGTAATTTTTAACAAAACAGGGCGCATATACAGAAATACAAAATTCCTGCTCGGCTCAGAAAATATAGAAATTACTACGTCGTACTGCTATCTAGGTCTGTTGTTGTCCTCATCTGGCAGTTTCTCACTAGCTAAGAAACAACTTGCTTTAAAAGCTCGCAAAGCTGTTTTCAGCATCAAATCTCGTATCCGCTCTCAAATCTCATTAAAAGCTTTACTAAGGATTTTCGACGTGTGCATCAAATCAATAATGTTATATGGTTGTGAAATCTGGGGAAAAGATTTTTCAAATGACAACTGTCCTATTGAAACTGTCCATAATCGCTTCTGCAAAAACATTCTTGGGGTACACAGAAACGCTAGCAACGGAGCATGCAAAGCAGAGCTCGGTTAAGACTGAGGCAACTAGACGCTAATACACATCCCCTACAAGTCGACGCTTTACTATCTCAAAAACATATGTTAATGCTTGGTCACAAGAAAAATGTGCTACACCATGTGAAAGAAATACTTGACCGCAGTGGTTTCTCATATATCTGGCATAACGACAACGCCGATCTCGATAAGCAACACATATGTACATTACTTAGAAGTAGACTCTCTGACATGTATATCCAAACCTTTCTTTACAATCTCTCTGTTGATGTCGGTAAGCTAAGATTTTATAGACATCTGAAACCTGTATACACAATGGAACGTTATCTTCACATCAAAGACTTCGATGTTAGATCAGCCATATGTAACCTTAGAGTTAGCGCTCATACATTAGAAATAGAAAAGGGTAGATACAAACAATTGCCTGTTAACAACAGAATATGTAAATATTGTACAGGAAACGCAGTGGAGGATGAAATGCACATTATTTGTCATTGCTCTCATTATAGCACCGAAAGAGATCAGTTATTTGAAATGGCCACCAAAATGTTCCCCAGCTTTATTCACCTTCCCAGCCTACAAAAAACTGCATTTCTATTAACACCTCCCAATTCATATATCTCGCAAAACGTCGGCCATTTCATACTCCACTGCACACGGAAAAGAAATCAAACCCAACAATAACTACAAATGTATATATAAAGTAGCATTAGCATCACTTATTATCATTCTACTGTTTACTGTTGTTATCATGTTCTTGCAATTAGCCCTCGGGCATGAATTTGCAATAAACTTTCTTATATGAATATATTGAATTTCATTTCAAAAGGAGAGCCAAGCCTCTGTTATTTGCATGATGGCGATGGTGTCTGTGAAGAGTTCGAGAGACGATCCAGTATTCAAGACTGCGGATTCTACACACCCCCGGGCTTTACAGACCAATGGGCATCTGAGGCCATGGCTAACCCAAAGTACCAGAATAATGACTGTCCAGAGGACGTGATCGTTGGGCCTCCTCTGAGAACACAGGTGCGTGGAAACTGGTCTGTTCTCCTACACACAACTGTTGTAGGGCGCGTGTGGGACTTGTGCACATGAACATGATTTGAATAAATTTTGAAAAGCTTCATTTACCGTTGCTGTTTTTTGTTCGCTTCTCCACCCTTACAGATGTGTGGACCAGAGGTCAACCCTCTAACAGCCTGGCAGCCTTGTTCCTTCTCAGGAATACATCTTTACCCGTTATACTGGTTACGCGTAAGTAGAGTACCTGCTATTTTTTATTTTTGGCCATATGCGTGTTGCAGCCAGACAGAATCTCTACTATTCCTGTTCTCACTGAAACTTTTTGGTTGAATATCAGTGTTGAAACAAATAAACACTGTTTTGCCATCAATTCATTGAGCACAACAACATTTTGCTACATCGCCAAGCAGATGTGGAATTGTAAATCTATTATATATATATGACATCCATGGTGAGGCATGAAATCGCCTTTAGGCCACACTGACTTGATTGTATGGCTGACATCAGTGCGCAAATTTGCCCAAATCAAAGAAGATGTGAAATAACATTAAGAAGGAATTTATGATTTGATATACCATGTTCTGTGTGTTCAGTCATTGTGCAAACTTCCTGACCACTTAAATTTTATGATTGTCCTTTCTTGATAATAAATAATAATAATAAATAATAACAATGATAATGAATAGTTTCATGATAAAGGCAACTTTCGGGCCCAACAGTTTTTCGCTCGCATTAGAGTTGGGGTGTGTAGTATGTCACCCCGGTAAAGTATTCCACCTTACAACCATCCATTCATCAGGATAGTAGTATTTTTTTGCAATTGCAGTGTTGCTAACCTTCCTGTTTTCAGGTGACGTTTCCACGCCCGGTGGTTGCTGTTGCTGTGATAGTATACCTGGCCTCAGATGGCATCACGTTACTCAGTGATGAAAAGAAAACCATTTCCGTGTCCCTGATTGACACCGAGGGCAGGGAACATGATATCGGGTCACGGCAGGTAAACCCTTTCAAAATGGTACTAACGAAAAGAAACCTCGTCATTGTACTGAAAGGTCCACAGTTTCAACCAGACAAATCTAAGGATGTATGATCCTTGATATATACGAATGCGCTATCAAATTATGTTATAGACCGTTAAATGATGGTGACAAGGCCTGTTTAACTCTGTCAATATTTGCCATCAATTTCGTTATTTGATTATTACCTACTACCTCCGAGGAAGAAGATATCCTTCCTATCCTGACCTCGCCCATCTTTTTCTTGTAGCATTACTGTTGACGTTGCTGTTAATGTGATATCTGAAATTTTCAGCTACAAACTGATCAGTGAATTGATACTTGTGTTCCCTTTGAGCCGATTCAAAATATTAATACAATCAAAACTATCATTTCCATACATGTATGTATGTATGTATGTATGTATTCATGTAAGATGTTAACCAATTCCCATCATCACTGATGTGTTCCTGTTGTGATGCCCAGGTACCGCTGTCCTGTAAACAGAACCCAGTCGAGGTCTCCGTAGTACACGACCTTACTGCACCATTCTACCACACCAAGGCGGCAAAGATCAAGTTCATGTCCAAATACATCGCCATCTCCGCCATTGCCCTTCGCTCCTCCGATACTCTGGATCCAGTTGCTATTTCACGGTAGATAATCTGGTTTATAAGAAAGGTTGATTTATGTCGCACACTGTAAATGATGGTTAGATATTTACGCTGTTTGTGAATGTGTGTCTAATTAGATTCAGAGATCAGTGCCAAAACGCCCCGGATTCTAAACTACAATTTGCCGCAAGAAGTTCCCACCATACCTGACAAATATTCACTCCTGCCAAGAAAAACAAAACAAAAAAATCCAGTTGATTGGGTGAGGAGCTAACCCTCACAATATGCCTCCAAATCCAATGCCGTGGGAACAACAATGGAACTTGCAGTCCTACAAGCCATGAGTTGGAGACGTTCTCCTTTACCTACCAAAAAAAAAGATGGACTGGAATCATAGAAAAACTGCTCCCTTTGTCATTAGAAATTTATCTCTGATTTTTTCTTGGAAATCCTCTAAAAAAATGCACGAAATGCCATTTTAGAAGGTTCATTTTTCAAAATTTTGCGGGGGAGCATGCCCCCGGACCCCCCTAGGGACCTCGCGCCTACGGCACTCGAGGTCCCGCCTCAAGCAGTGGGAAGAACACCCCATTCAAAATCCTGGCTACGGGCATGATTTTGTATACTAATTGGGCATGTCCTGGCGTTAACGTGGTAAGCGTGATATTGCAGATTCTGCAGTTAATCCTCAAGCCTTACATGACCCTACATCGGCAGCAATTGCCCCACATCTTCCTGCAATCTTCTCTCCATGTTTTGATCTGTGTAAACACCAAATGTAAAATACTTTCAGATGCCAACATGGAGAGATGTACAACCCAGCCAGCCGACAATGTCACCCTGCGACGACGTGCAAAAAAACAACGTGCCCTCCACTCATAGTCAAGTATGCCTCTGTTAACTCAAGGGCGTTGAAGAGAGACTCCCTCGTCAACTGTTCTGGAATGCAGGATGGCGATAGGTATCAGATGTGGTGCTTCTTGACATTTGTAATATGCTCAGCTGGAACTTTATAGCTACTAAGACATAAGATTAGATGCGTTTTTGTGAATATTTTACGACACGCTGAAAGCTAGCTGCGACACGGGAACAGTACATGTGTGTGTGTGTGGTGGGGGTGGGGGGGTAG